TGCATCGGATGCAGGACCCTCGTCTGAGTCTTCCCCAGACTCCCAGACTGGTCCCCTTTCTTCCTCACTGTCCGACTCGACTGTCGTCTGCACCGACTGCCAGCGAACCACAACAAGAAGTCTGTGTGAAAGACTACAGAAAGAATATAAAGTGGACTCCGATTTGACAAATTGTCCAGACGTATTCATATGATACCAAACACAATGTGAAATATTAATGATGGGCAGAGTTGTTTCACTGTAATGCTGGTAAAAAATATTTTTCAAACTTCCAACAGCCAGCTGCACCCAACAAGATTCTCACCGAGGCTTCTTTAATCTCTTTGTTGAAAGAGAACGAACACTATAAAGTTCCATACATCTTGATGACTAAATAACTTTTAAGATCTTACTTATGTCTGAATTTGCTAGGGAAGAACTATTTTCATCCTCAAGATAAGCACTCTTTGTTGAACAGGAGAGGTAATGAATGGTTTGTTGGATTAAAAAAAAGGAATCTCTAGATGTTCTGGACTGACTGTGTTTTCCAAACTCATTCCTTTCTCCTAGGCACAGAGAAGGCCATTATGTTAGTACTTATTTTTGGAATAAATAAACAAGACCATTGAGTTTGCAGTATAGACCGGCCAGGTCATTGTGTTAATTCCGTAGTGTTGTGCTCTTGCTTTGGTGACAAAGGTGAGGACAGGCAGTCCATGTAGGTGAACTTGGTGGCTGCCCATGGAACCAGGTGAATTAGGATGCCAAATTTCAAGAAGGACAACAAAACCCAATTAAATTGGCCCTTGACTTACATCCAGGGTGTCAGTTGCTAGTCTTGAACCTAGACTGACTTCTGGCAGAAGGCACAAAGTTCAATGTCCAACGTAGAGACATCTCAATCTCAGATGGTAGAAAGTGGTGGAGACTTTCAAGAGTTACTCCCAATGAGTCAACAGCACTCATCCTAGATGAAGTAGTTCATCTGAATTTAATCCAGCACAGAAGTTAGGGAAGGGAAGCCTTAATTTGGAGATTTCAGACATTCTCTTCTGCTTAGAAGAAAAATTAATAATAATTTCTTCTTTTTTTTTACCATAGCTTTGTCCCTGATGACTGGGTTTGCTGCATATGAGCCTCTTCTAGGTATGGTCTTTCAATCAGTATCCAGTGTGATTAGCTTAGACTTAGACTAACTTTATAGTCATGTTGAATGTACACTAATCGGCATACATTAAAATGAAATTTCGTTGCATACAATGAAAGGTGATGTGACTCTTCTTCCTTTTCGATTAGCTTCATTTCTTTTTCCATGTCAAAGAGTCTTAGGCGTGCCTTTGGGAAGAGCGGAGTTTTCAGAATGGATATTGGAACTAAGAACGTTAATATTAATACCAATAATACTGTGGAATCAAATACAAGACCCCAACACCAGTAGTCAATTTACGTTTGAGGGCAGAACTTTGATGTAGTTTCGGGGAGCCAACCTGTTTAGGGTTATCTTCTCTTTGACTTGAATCCTGGAATCCTTTCTTCTTCCACACCATTGTCCCGTTTTTGGCCACACGGGTCCACCCCCTGCAGACACCCAAGCCAGCACACTTACCTGATGCTTTCTACCTTGTGTGACTTTGTAGCCTACTCCCAAATGCTGATCAACTTCTACTATGGAGGGAAGCTGGTGGGGAGCACAACCACCTCTCGGCCCGAAGGCTGCCGGATCTCCCTGGGAGAGGCGCCCTATTGCCAGGATAGCCTGGAACACGTCCAGTTCCCATCGGCAGAGCTGATACCCAACGAGCGCCAGAGGCAGATCACCCGCAAGCTCTTTGGGCACCTGGAACGGGGCGTCCTTCTGCACTGCAACAAACAAGGCATCTTCATCAAGCGGCTCAGCCAGGGGAGGGTCTTCTGGAGTGGGAACACCATGGCCTGCAGGGAGAAACCCAACAAACTGGACCGGGATGAGGTGGTCAAAATCTTTGACACCAATTACTTCCTCAGAGGTGAGTGAGACCTTTTTTGGGTTTGTGTGCTGCTGAGCATAGGGACACCAATCACCTACCGTAGTTATCGGCGTATAACACGCACTTTTTCCCCCTGAAAATAGGGGGCAAATGATGTATGCGTGTTATACGCCGATGTCCAGGGAGCGGAATCCTCTTTAAGGGATCCCGTTCCCAATAGTGCCTAGCGGCGGCGCAGCATCATGACGTGATGTCAGCGCTGCGCCCGCCGCATATTATCACAGCCGCATTTTTTTCCTGAAATTTCCCTCTTAAAATGAAGATGCGTGTTATACGCCTGTGCGTGTTATACGCCGATAAATACGGTATGAGCCACGGTGGTGCAGTGGTGAGAGTGTAGTACTGCAGGCTACTTCTGCTGACTGCCATCTGCCTGCAATCTGGCAGTTCGAATCTCACCAGGCTCAAGGTTGACTCTGCCCTCTGTCCTTCCGAGGTGGGTAAAAGGAGGACCCAGATCGTTGGGGAAAAGAGGCTGACTCTGTAAACTGCTTAGAGAGGGCTGTGAGAGCACTGTGAAGCGGTATATAAGTCTAAGTGCTAAGTGGGAAGGAATGGAGGGAGGGAGGGAGGAAGAAGGCAGGAAGGAAAGAAGGGAAGGAAGAAGAGAGGGAGGGAGGGAGGGAGGAAGAAGGGAGGAAGGAAAAAAGGGGGGGAGGGAGGGAGGAAGAAGGGAGGCAAAGTCCATGGTGGTGCAGTGGTTAGAATGCAGTATTGCTTAGGGAAAATTAAGGATAATAAAGATGCGTAATGCTAAATAAAATAGGTAGTAAGTTGAAAACAGAAATAATAGGGCTAAAGAACTGGGAATCTATATTTGGATGAAATGATATTGATATTGAATTAATGAAGTGAAATATGAAATAGAAATTTATTTAAAGATGGGTGAAATGGATAATGATATGAGATGATATTATATAAGATTGGTGGAAATGAAAGTATGACTATGTCCAAGGGTTATAATCTGGAACCATGTTGCCCATGTAAAGAGATGTGTAAAAATTAAAAAAAAAATCAAAAACTTTTTTTGGGAAAAAAAGAAAGAATGCAGTATTGCTGACTCTGTCAACTGCCAGGAGTTCATCCCTGATGGGACTCAAAGTTGACTCAGCCTTCCATCCTTCCGAGGTGGGTAAAATGAGGACCCAGATTGTTGGGGGAAAGAGGCTGACTCTGTAAACCGCTTAGAAGTGGTATATAAGTCTAAGTTTTATTGCTATTCCTGGTTTCAATGAATTCAAATTTGCTTTTTTTCCCCCCACTCCTCCCTTTCAAGAGCTCCATCAGTATTATAACAACCAAGGACGCCTTCCAAACAGCAAAGTGATTCTGTGTTTTGGAGAAGAATTTCCAGATACTGTCCCCTTACGCTGCAAGCTGATCTTGGTGGAGGTGAGCGGAACAACTGGTCAGGAATCAGTCAGTTAGAGAACCAGCTCTCATCTGAGTTCCCTGGTCAAATGTCAGGACTTCCTAAGGTTAATTGCAGAACTGCTCCTCCTTGTTTGTGTTAGATTCACTTTCCTTTTTCGAAACAGCCATATATGGTAGAGGACAATCAACCCGTGGAACAGAAGTTGCCTTCAGAAGTTGTGGGAGCTTCATCACTGGAAGCTTTCAGGAAGAGTCTGGACTGCCCTCTGTCAGGCGTGGTGTAGGGTCTCCTGCTTGGGCAGGGGGTTGGACTGGATGACCTGCAAGGTCCCTTCCAACTCTGATAACATCTGATCAGTGGGATCCATTCTATGACTAATGCTCATGTTTTTGGATCTTATTGTCAGTGATTTGGAGTGCCTGTTTCCCACTGGGAGGCTCTGCTCTTTCTTCCCTGGCCTTCAAAGTTTCTTGTTAAAATCTCTCTGCTTTTGAACATCTTCGCTTGGCATGTGTTTGCTGCTCTTCAGCATGGATTTACCAGGGTAGCAAAGACGGGCCATGTGATGAATGGCAAAAACTGGGCTGTCCTGTTTCTTGCTGGCAGAACTGAAGTGTGCATCAAACGGAGATAGCTAGCATTGACTCCCAAGTCGAGACAAAGCCAACCTAAACTCCAAGAGCATCCAGTGATCCACAAAGAGGGTCATTAAAAACACTGACTTCCAGGCTGGGCGATTGGCCGTGAGCTGGCTTGAACCCCGCTAACCAAGTCACCTCAAATCTACAGCTTGGCCAGGCAGCTCCTGATACTGTTTTGCAACTTGGCCTGTCTCCTGGTTGAACAAAGTGGCAACAGATCTGTCTGGTTCAGGCTTGTTTAGTGCAGGGGATTAAAGAGGAGATGAGGGCCTGTCTCTGGGGCATCCATAGAAGGGCCCTCTAAGTCAAGAAAATGCCCTGGATGTGACCAAAAAGACCAAGTTCCCTTTCTACGTATGTACATGGCAGGGCTGCTTATTTGACTTAGATCACGCTTCCCTGCCGATTCTGAGCTCTGGAGGTGACTATCATCCACACAAGGTGGAGTGCAATGAACAGTGCAAAGACACAACAGAATTAATGAACAACTGAAGACCTGGCAACAGAGAAGCATTTTTTAAATGTTCCCAGGAAGCTCAGTGCAACTTGGGAGAAAGAGCATTGCCCAGCTTAGGAGCCAGGGAGGGGGGTTGGCAGAGGGGCCAGACCTTGGCATGAAGGGGCATCTTTCTGGAGGGTCTTCCTCCAAGTTTTCAGGCCCAAGATAGGGACCTCCCGGAGATGTGCTCTTTGGCTAAGGATTCACCATGCGCTCAACCGTATTCTCTTAAATAAGCCACAGCTGGATGGAGGCATGCACAGGCTGAGTGTAATGCATGGGTTTTTTTCTGAACACAAGGGCTATGTTCAGGCAACATGTTTGAACGAAACCAGTGAAACCACACAAGAGCTCAGCATAATGTCTGAACCAGATAAGAACCTCCTTGCTGGAGCAGCTTCAGCCCCTGCCTGTTGCTGCTGAGCTGAGTAGAGCAAAGGAAAGCACAGGCATCCTGGCTGCTGCCTGCAGAGCTTTTGGGCTTAGCTAGCAGGTGACCCATCGCTTTGACTCTCCTGTGCTGTGCAGAGACCAGAAAGCTGTGAATCAGGAAATCCACCTTCACCGTCAGGCTCAAGAACCAAGAGCAGCAAGTGAAGTTACTTAATAATAATTTCCTTTCTTCTTCTTCTTCTTCTTCTTCTTCTTCTTCTTCTTCTTCTTCTTCTTCTTCTTCTTCTTCTTCTTCTTCTTCTTCTTCTTCTTCTTCTTCTTCTTCTTCTTCTTCT